AGGTTCAACCGTTCCAGAGCACAGTTTGGTGCCATCTGGCACCAAAAATCTGAAAATCGTCGGATGCTTTCGAGATAAAAATTAATTTTTTCTCGCATTACGAACTGTTTTGTAAAAATCGAAATACATATTTGCGCTTTACTAAAAGTACTTTGTTCTACTTTGAGAAAGTGACGCTTACGTCCATAAGGTTTTAGAAAATAAAAATCGAGGAAGTGTTTTCAACATAGTTGAAATTATTCAACGAATTTATTATCAAATGAATAAATGCAACGAACGCTATACAAAATTAATGGTTGTCATATACAGAGCATCAAGATAAGCGTGACCGTGAAATTTTCTATACTTATTTTACATGTGTGCACCATTAGTCGGAACCGAGAAGTTTTGTACAACATTTTATTTGTTAAACTATTGATTGTAACGATTGTTATAAACCAATTTAACGACATACATCTGTATTAAAAGCTACCAAGCTATTTCGAAAAACGATACATCGCACTCTCTCGCATTCTTTACAGGCATTCGTATATTCATGCACGACGTTATACATTGAGAGATAAAATAAGAATATTATACTTATCCGAATTGAAGGCACATATTATGTAGATAAACAAAGAATTCGCAGTTAACTGATACTCGCAGCGTATATGTGCTTTCAATTCGCCCGTTTCTCGTCGATTTCTACGGCGACTTTTAGTAACAATATTTCTTTGCTATTACACATTATATACCTACACGTCCGTCGTTCCCACTCGAAAGACGGTTTGTCAGTGCCCTTTTCTTTGTACACGATCGTGAGAGAGTTTTAAACACTTGCGTACATGGCACTAAGCAGCGTTGTAAAACACGGATCTATTAATCTTAAGCATACAAAAATAAATTATAATAATAATCATGTATCTCTGAACTTATACATGTACAATGAATACTATATCATGTATACGTAAATATAACATATATCGATATATAAATATATTTTAAAGTACAGTATCCCTTAAAATTATTTCTGATTTAGAGTACAATTAAAATGCTCTTCTTTTAATAATACATGCCAGAACATCTAGGAGAATTATTTAATAAAAAGAAATTTTGTCAATACTCCGCGAGAACGTATGCCTCTTTGTTGTCAAAGATTACGCTTTATCTTTTTTTTTTCTCCCGTAACATTCCCAAATTTCATTTGAACAAAAAACAGGTATCCGTGTTCTTTGCTAATAGATATCATTCTTCTATAATGGAACACACCAATCATTTAACATTTACCTAAAATAAGTGTATACACCTACTATAATATTTAAAAAATATATTACACCAGCAACATACGCGTTCTCCTAGACATTTTTGTTTCATCAAACCCACCATTGCATCTGCTGGTGTACGCTTTGGCTGTAGCAAATTACCTGTTTAACAGTATTACATTTTGTTATGAATGTAAAATCGAAATCAATTTACACACAATTCGTACGTACCTATGTAGCTTAAGGAGGTTTGGGTAAATTACAGACTTGTAAAGGCACAGGACGAAACGACTAGGAATAATGTTGCAACGGCTAATACAGGTTTGGATGCACCTGATTCTTTAACTGAAAGTACATTAAATATTCATAAGAATCTTACTCGTTTGCAAACAGAATTCATTATCTAACATATTGCAATATTTACCATGCTGAGCCACCTGATCATCGTGTTCTGTAAAGGCAAGTGAGAAAAGATACTTTAGTAAAGCAATACTTCTGTATTACGCAAAGAACGATTACGAAATGCATTTCTCCATCTTCTTACCTCCTATGAACGAGTGCGGCTTCGACGGCGGAGACCATCCGAAATCGTTTCTAGCCATAAGGATCGCTTCGTACGATCCAGGTTGAAGTCCTTCGATAATGTGCTCAACGGTGAACGTATTTCCTTGCCCGTTTTTCACCGTAGGGTTCAAGGTAGTCCAATTTTCGTCTCCCTTCCGACGATACTCCAGCTACAATAATTCATTTAACGTCTTACATAGTGCTAAAAGTGTTTGAGAAACGTGAGAGCATGCAGTTCAATAATAAATACCCTGTATTCGGTGATCGGCGAATAACTTTCCAATTGCCATCTCAAGATCAATCCCGTTTGATTTCTCGCTATCTCGCCACCAGAAATGATGGCTTGAGAAGGAAGACCTGAAAAAGAAATTAAGATCAGACTTCAAGTAATGATTTTTTGACTATTTCACTCTTCCACGAATGAAAAGTGAAAAAAGTTACCAGTAAGAATAATGGTTTTTTCTGCTCGTCCCAGCTTGTTCTCAGCCATGCACGTGTAGTTGCCAAAGTGCTCCTTTTCCGTATGCAAAATATCGAGGTAGTGTCGAGTCTTGTTCGATTCGATCTCTACGCTTCCTTTTTTCGGTAATACCTCCTGCTTGTCCTTCAGCCACGTCACCGTAGCATGCGGATGAGCGTGCACGACGCACGTTAGCCGCGACTCGACACCGAGTCCGGTATGCACCCACTTCCCCTTTGTCTCTATTTCGGGCGCGTCTAAGGAAACAAATACGTTTTTTCTAAGGTTTGATTCATTCGTCGTGGTAACGTCTAAATATAGAGTAAGTGGGTCATCGAAATGATTGCAACGAGTTCTCGAAATTCTTACAGTTGACGATCACGTTGATCGCTTCTACAGGTGGATTTCCCGAATTGTCCTCGAGCAGACACTGATAACGGCCACCGTCGCGCCTGTTTACGTTCATAATAGTTATGCTATTGCCTGAGACTATTACGTTACTATGGACCCTCTCGTTCTGTGATAAAACATACAAAAATGATAAGATCAAAGAATTCAGTATTTTATCGAGTCAATGTTGTCGACACATTCCACGAACAACAACTGGCACAATGAGTGCAAATTAGATTTAACAGGACCTCGCCTTACCTCGTGGTACCATTTAATCTCTGGTGTCGGCTGCACCCTTGTTTCACAGCCAATGGTAACGTTTTCGCCGGCATTCACCTCCACACGCTTTTTTGGGACGACGCGTATCAGCGATTGTTTATGGTGAGGCGTCACGGCAGGTTGTGCCAGTGGAACAGTGTCAACCAACACCCTATGCGTGATTGAAATTCTCGGTTCTGTCAGGATACTACACACATAACGATCAGAGGAATCACTGCTTATGACATTGTGGATCACTAAAGTGTTGTTCGGCAGCCGAGTCAACCTCTCGTCCGACGTTATCGGGCGCGAGTCGAAGAACAGAGTCTCGTCGTCCTTTGACCATAAAGCTGCGACATGATCTAAAAATGAAAATATTTAATGAAAATTAAAAATCCGTATAATTATTTTACTGAGCTGGATGGATAATCGAAGAGCTTCTGGTACACACCTGCGTTCTTTAAGAGACAATGCAACCAAATCGTGCTTCCGTTCCTCACGCGTATATTCTGGGGCGTGGATAGGATTTGCGGTGGTTCCTCAACGGAGTCTGCTTCATCTTCATTATCAACATTATCGTCGTCGTTGTAATCGGACGGCGGGTCGTCATCATTGTAATCGGTGCCCTCCACGCTCTTAGAAGGTTTGCACCAAACTGCAAGCAAAAGAACCGCGTTGTCTATTTAATTACGGTCGACGGTCAGATTTAATTAAATCTATAGTATTCGCCTTGAAAAATCCATTCTAAAACCGCTCGAATCCTTGGCCTTTTGATCGCACGCGTTCGTGACTCTCGCGTGTCTTGTTAGCAAGGAAACCGAGAAAGCGAAGAGAATTCCTATCCGAAAAATGCTGTTTTATATTCACGGTTCACAGCAGGACCTTTAATGTAAATGTCATTTACAATTCACCAAATGAAATTCACTTGTTTAACTCTCGCAATGGTACATTTACGATTTGCATATTCCTAAACGATACTCTTGGAATAACGTCACAATTTTAAAGACCTTTCAAGAATCGCTGTTTGTTTAAACAATAATGATGGATATCAGCAGTGTTACTCACAGAATGAAACATCCGTAAAGGATGGATCAATCGTAAAATGCTGGTCAACAGCTGTTACCGATTCTTTCTCAAAAGAAACATATCTAGCAAAATTTACATTCTCTGACAGAGGCCTCGGGCTATGCACGAAACGCTGTTGGAATTAGATTTCTAGTGCACGAAATGCGCTTAATTTCAGAAGAGCGTATGTAAGCACACAGTTTTCTAATAATACTTGGCCCCATGTCCGTTCGTCTTTCTCGACAATGCTCTTTCCTACTTCTTCACGTGTGACTTAACGATGGCGGGCACGCGGCCATCGTTAAGACACGGTTAACCGAATAAAGAACACCAGGCAAAACGGTAGAACGGACCAAATAAGAGGTCCACACCCTCGCCGTGTTCGTGTCTGCACCCAGTTTACCCCGTTTTCAGTCACGTTCGCCTGTTTGCTACGATGGTTTGATTTTAACCAGAAACACCACGCCCTTATAAGCCGAAAAATGGGTTGTCACGAAGGTGTATTATGTACTCGGACACGCTGGTTAGTGTAGGATCTAACCAGGTCGTTCGGACATTTTTATTTCGTTGTTGAACACTCGGAGACAAGTAAAAGTCGACCCACCTCCGGTATCCGTCCCTAGTTAAGCCCCGCGATCGGACAGAACACGTGTTGTCGATGCCCGAGATCTCGCCTATCCTTTATTATAGACTATATGAATTTTTGTTCCATTCGCGAAAGTCACCTTGTTTAATCGAGGTTTGGAAAGCTTTCAGATTTAGGTCGTCGCGAATACCTCTTTGACCAGGTTTCACTAGTTTTCGACTTTCCTGTGGATCTCAAAGGGCCTTTCAACTCTTTGCTTATCGATGTAACTTAGTTATTTTCAGCGATGACGTTCAAACACGACTAAAATTTGAACGTAGAGAACTCGAAGTCTGTATACTTGATCTTAAATATACAAGCAAAATTAAATGTTGATAAAAGAATGTTTGCGGAACCTTGTCGTTAAGATTGGAAATTAATGATAAGACAATTTAATGTACATCCCGAATTTGTACCAAGTATTTAAGGAATTATTGCCAAATGAACGATTCCATGATTTAGGATAAAAAGGACGATTAGACTAGGATTAAGTCGTGAAACTGGGTTAATGGCTGACCACTGCGTGCCGGCAGTACTGTTTCTACTTAGTAATCTGCAACCCCTTAGCCGCATGCCATCGCGCTAGCCTCCCCTAGCAACGACCTAGAAATGACGCCACGGTGTCCCATTACTCAATTTACTCCCACCATGGGTTCATTATACGCTATGCCTAGAAGTTCTCAGCATCCCAACAGAGCTAAATTCACGTCTTGAAGTATTGTGATAATCGAAAAATCGTTCATAATTAATAGAAGATAAAAAATCCGATAATAGAATCGACAGATATGTTTTTCTACTGCAACAATTCATAACATTTAACGGGTTAAACATCAGTAGAAGAAATCGTGGAAGTTAAATGTCTGCAGTGACAGTAATTTATGAGCGACCTTCGCGATTATAGTGAATTCTAAATCTTCCGTCTCCCTCGAATTTCATCGTGACAAAGGAAAGGACATCTCGACGAGGATCTGGACATCCGGCGTCCAAGGTGAAAGAGACTGCAATACGCAATGCATCATAAACCAGGCATTCGTGTAAACGCAATGAAACCGCATACTCGATGAACAGCTTCATCGGGGGGGTCTTGCGAAATGGTAAAAATCCCGAGATCCCCGTCGATTCTCTCTCCTCGTTTCTCCAACGTTCCGTCTCGCTCGGAACGGTGGCACGTAACGAATAACGGACAGTCTGGAAGACCGCAAAATCGTTTTGCATTAGTCGCACGCCTAAGTAACACAAACGATGATGTCACCCCAGCGACATGTCCTAAAAGAGGACCTGGCTCATACCCGCGATTCATTATAAGAGTACACGTCATCCACCGATTCCTCGCGATTGCCCCTGCGTGCCTCCACGTTTCCTTACGTGTCCACGTAGATCGCTTGCCGCACCTTCACAAATCAAGAGGGTGAAGATCGACCAGAAACCGCATCGACCGTCACGCGCGGATTGTGAAATGTCAGGATGTCGCTGCGAGCTCCAATTACGCGTTTGCCTACCAGACTTACATGCCCGAGGCGTATTTACGCAACTTGGAAGCATAAGTTTCCGTGTTTTATCGCGACTCCTAATTGCCGATTTGTAGACAAGGGAGATACGATCGGCGAAACGAGTGTACTATAAATATGATGACCTTTTCTTTCGTAAGGTGGAAACAAGCATCGCATGGGAATCCAATGATTGAAATTTATCGATGCATTCCTTTGCACCTTGTAACTGCGCGCCGTGCAACACTGAAGAACAGTTGTAATTGCATTACGGTTTCTCGTGCATCATTTTCTTCTCTCAAATCATTTTCATTGGAAGAGACTGCTCGTTTCCTACTGTTATATCTACGCGTTACGCCTGCAGCGTTCGTATACGTATACTGCAAGTACAAAAATCAGTCCGTTACGTTCGTACAAATGCGTCTGACCCGGAATAGTCGTATTTCTACGAAAAGAGAACTGTACATTGTTACGGGGAAAATGACTGATTTAAATCGGATGCATGATATCGTTAACCATTGGGAAACATCCGAAACGTGAACGCGTGGTAATTCCGCGTACTGCTAACGTTGCGTGTAAATTTAGATTTGATGAATAATCGTATAAAATCTTACCAGATTCGTACCAACATATGATGAAGTCATCGTTTCAATCGAGCGTAGGTATATCTTACTTGCCGCAACGTACGAACACGTTGTTGCTCAAATTCTCCCTTTATCGATCCCGACTTCTTCCACCCCCATGAAACGATGTCTGTTTGCCCGAGGAAGGGAAGTATCGCGGCCCCATGGGGTAGAAAAGTCACCAAGTTATCGTTCGTCAGCGTTTTCATAAAGCAAACACGATCGTTTTGCTCAATTATCAGAGTGCTTCATGATCAGCGCGGCCGATCTCGCGTTCCTTGAAAATTTTCCATTCACCTGGCTACCGGCATTCACGCGCGATTCTCATAACTCCCCGAGTTAAACGTCGGGAAATCAAACAAAGTCATTAATTTTCTCATTTATCGCACGGCCGCTACCGCCTTCCCGTGTCGTTGATCGCGCGTCGCGCCGCGGACATGGAAGTGTACGCAGAAATTCTCACGGAACGAACACGTAACAGAGAAACACGGCGCAGCTGGTATGAGAAACCGATCAAAATGCGCGCCGATATTAAACATTCAGAATTTATCCTTCGAAGGCTGGGATTGACAACGTTCGATGGATCACGAATATTGAATGGGCTGACGTCACCTCTCGCATTCCATCGTGCCTTAATGGTTATTATTGCTAAGAGGCACGCACTCTTATTCCGAGGGGGAGCCTTCTCGTTTCACGTATACCGCCTCGAACACGTGTGCGTCTGTAAACATCGGACCGGGCGTTCGTGGGTGCGTAAAATACCACGAACGGAGGTGGGAGTCGTGTACATACGTTTACGCTTGTACACCCGTCCCGTGGAATGTGCAGCGCGTAAGTATGTATACGCGATATGCACAAGCGTGCACAGTGTGCACTGGTAGGAGCATGGATAATAAAACTGGGAGTGCCATCGACCGAATTGACTTCACCGGTTGTTGGTGCCTAAAAAGTCTCCAGAATCGTGAGGTCAGCGGTATCGGCTGATTTCGCGTTTGCGAAACCATAAATATCGAGGACAATGTGTAGTTTCATCAGCAGAACGCGCAGCTTCGAGTTCTGCTTCGCCATATATGTACGTACCGCGAACCGCGAAAATGTTCTCTCCTACGAGTTAACTACGGAGGATTCGAGGTGAAACGATGGTGGTTCGAAAGCGGTTCGACGAGTTTGCGGTCGCGATCGATTAACGAGCCTAAGTGGCGAGAACAACGCTTTCCAAGGTATCCTCCAAGGGGATGGGATGGGCTCTTGATTAATCGCCGGCATCATGCTAACGCGGTCCTTAATGAAACATGCATTGGTCGACGATTATCAATCCTACAAATCACTACTTATAGGAGTTCTACTACGGACAGTTCTGAATGAAAAAGAATAGGGCTAGGGAAGCTGAATTTATATTAACCCGTCTCAGTGTAATAAAACTTTATCTAACAATAGCATCCAAAGTCAAGGGAGAGGTCTAACTGTTTCGAACCAGTGACTAATGATCTAGTTCTCACGGTCTCGCGGCACAGCGACGACGCATCTCTTTCTCTCGGCTAACGAATTGCGTCAGAGCTTTTCGAACCCTGAATAGAAAAGGCGGTACTGTCTTGACACGGTGTAGTGTCGCGTCGTCTTAGAACCGATTGCGCAACCGGTCCGCGAAGAAGAGTTTCTATCTCTCCTTTCTTCTCCTTTGCTCGCTCTCTCTTTGAACGCGTCGAGAACGGGCAACGATTCGAAATAATCCGTAGATTGCAGCCGGTTCTCTCACCACGCGAAAATAACCGTGCGCGGCTGCAAGGGATATAACGCCGCAGCGAAATAGCAAAAGGGTCGAGACATTGTAGCTGGCGAGCTGCCAAACGGGAAG